AGAGCAGTAATCAGGTGTCCATTTAAAAACATATAACTTGATATTGTTGATAGTCCAAGTACCTCGAATAAAAAATCTCAAGTATTCTTCTTCCTTGTTGAAAATGAACAGAACATCATTGTTGAGAAGCCTGCGTAATCTGAAGCCCCCCTGGTATCCAGTCCCTTCAAGGAAACTTTTAATGTCATGAAGGTTGATGAATCTGCCAGCTCTTCCCACCAGCGCAAACTTGAAGTTGCTACAGAGTTTCCTTTCTTCGTCCAGGGAGAAAACAGCTGATGGCATTCCTTTGAAAGTTCCCTCCACCTTGCCCAATATTGTATTCCCATCTTCGTTAAACAGTTGACTAAAGAGTTTTTTAGATTGTGGTAGCGTAGGAATGTTTGTGGCTGTGTTGGAGTTTCTATTGGGTTGATGAATGTTGTGGTTTGCCGGAAACTTGGCCGGGAAACCAGAGAATTCCGGCAACTTTCTCACTCTAGCCATCATATATATATATATATATATATATATATATATATATATATATATATATATATATATATATATATATAAAATATATATGACTGCACAAAATGCTATTTATGTAGGAAATACAATCAACCTAGATGAGTTTCCAGTACTTACAAGACAGAACATGGAGGAGGAAGTACACACTCCAACTGTGGAGGCGGTTGTACACACTTCAACCGAGACGGAGAAGGATAACACAACAGGGACCCTAATGGCTGAAGATACAACAAAGGAAAACACAACACCAAATAATTCAGATGTCAACCCTGCCAGATGTGGACCTGGTTAATGGTTGCTGGAGTTCTAGGAGCAGATTTCGAACCCAGCTCACTTCGGCCACGGCATTGGCCACTGCACGATACTCTGCCTCAGCACTAGATCGTGATGTGGTGAGTTGTCCCTACACAAGATGCTATTTATGTAGGAAATACAAGAACACTCAATTGAGGGAACCTACACAAGAACACTCAATTGAGGAAAGCATGGATGGTATGACTGCACAAAATGCTATTTATGTAGGAAATACAATCAACCTAGATGAGTTTCCAGTACTTACAAGACAGAACATGGAGGAGGAAGTACACACTCCAACTGTGGAGGCGGTTGTACACACTCCAACCGAGACGGAGAAGGATAACACAACAGGGACCCTAATGGCTGAAGATACAACAAAGGAAAACACAACACCAAATATATGTAAAGAAAGATGGAAAACTTCGAGCGTTCTTCAAGCTCCAAGAAGATGAGGTAAAGAAAGATGGAAAACTTCAAGCGTTTTCATACTCCAAGAGAAGAGAGACGAGAGATTAGGGTTTTGATAATTCTTTATTGCTTGCTTTACTCTAATAAAATCTACATTACAATAATAATAATAATAATAATAATAATAATAATAATAATAATAATAATAATAATACTATTAAATATCCTACTCTACTATCCATAACATTTACTTCTAAAGAGAAGAGACAAAGAAATAATAGAAAAATTCCTACATAAATAGCATTTTGTGAACCTACACAAGAACACTCAATTGAGGAAAGCATGGATGGTATGACTGCACAAAATGCTATTTATGTAGGAAATACAATCAACCTAGATGAGTTTCCAGTACTTACAAGACAGAACATGGAGGAGGAAGTACACACTCCAACTGTGGAGGCGATTGTACACACTTCAACCGAGACGGAGAAGGATAACACAACAGGGACCCTAATGGCTGAAGATACAACAAAGGAAAACACAACACCAAATAATTCAGATGTCAACCCTGCCAGCATTGGACCGATCCTCCACTCTTTTGAACATGACGGTCAAAATTATGAAATTAGGTCTTACATGGAGGAAGGACAAACGTCCAACCGCAATGATGAAAACCTCATAGCTAACGAATTCCAAGAGGTCCAGAATAAAAAAAGAAGTAAAAAGAAGCAAGCTATGCCAAGGACCATCAAAACCAGAAGCTATGATCCTAATCTCGAAGTAGGGACTGTGAGCGAGATCACGAGATACTGGCCCAGTCGCAAATCTACTACCATGGAGAAAATAGTTACTACCGAAAGTTATTCTGGACCCTTTTGGTACGTTGGGCCCGTTGGTCCAATTGGCACGGATGGAAAAAGGCCGAAAAAAATAATGCCCAGAAATCTCTCTTTCGATCAACACCCGGGTTTTATAATCTGGGAATGATCCTTTTCATTATGTTTTCATCCAATTCCCCTTTTATCAATCCTTTTTTTTTCTTGCAATTCTAGAGGGGCGTTGGCCTAGTCCTCCCTTCTTTGTACTTTTCTTTATTTTGCATTTTAATAAAATTATCCTTTCAATAAATATATATATATATATATATATATATATATATATATATATAGTACTCAAGTATGAGATGCAACGGACAAAAAATCGATTTTTGATGAAATGATGAAACCGATTAGATGCTGCTGAGTAAAAATTCTTCTACCTTATATATATATATATATATATATATATATATATATATATATATATATATATATATATATATATATATCTTGAGTACTAAGATATTGTCATCCATAGAGCTTACACTTTAAACACTACTTGCTCATTTGTGAGCTTTATTTCTTGTATGGTTAAACTCGTCTTTTTTGAGTTGTTGTTCTTAAGACTTGTGTGACTCAAGTACGTCTTGGTTTTGTAAGAAAGTGAGGCTTGTGTGATTCAAGTTCTCAAGTTGTACCAGTTTTTAAGCACCCGTTGAAGCTTGAAGATTAGTAGGACCTTTGAGAGAGTCTCTCGGTGTTATTCATACTAATTTATAGTTGCATGGTATCAAAAAATAGGATTTTACAGTTCAAAAATTAGGTTTGTGGAAAAATTCCTAGTTCACATGGTACCGTCAAGACAATATGGGGTACGGTATTGCCTGGTTTTTGGTATCGCTAGAGAAACTTGGTTGGGATGGTATCTGTCTACCGTTACTTGCGGTAGAGCCTACCGTTCATGTTGTACCTTGGTACCGTTTAGGCAGTAGCTTGATACCGTTTCAGTGCGAAGTTTGAACAGTGTCGTCTTCAATCTCGGGGCAATTTTCGAAAACATCATTTTTAGCCATCAAACTTTAATTAAACTATATAGAAATGTTCTCCAAAGTTCATAGATCACTTTGGTATCATTAATTCAAAGTTTTAACAATAACTTCAAGGTTTATGATTCTTGGTTTTTCAAGCATGTCAAACACAAACTCAACCAAACGACCATTTATGAACTTAGAAACATCTATATGAACATTCTAGTCACTAGATATATCTAAGGGCTTACCTCGGGCTAAAACAGAGGTTTTGGGAAAATTCCAATGAAACTTCCGGTGACGATTACTGTAGAAAGATTATTTTCCAATTGATTATCAAAGAGAGGGTACATGTGTATATATACAAGGGAGTTTCCTAGTTGGTGTAGGAAACAATAATGGTAACCTATACAATTAAGGTAACTACAACTATTAACAATATTAAATATAGTAGTAATATATTTAACATGCTCCCAATGGCGATGGTGAGGTTGGCCGAACATCCAAGCAATCTCGAAATTCACAAAATATGATGGACGGTAGACCCTTGGTGAAGATATCTGCATACTGTATGGAAGAAGGGACATGAATAACTCGAATCTGCCCGAGGGCCACTTTGTCACGCACAAAATGAATGTCGACTTCAATGTGCTTTGTGCGTTGATGTTTGACGGGATTTGCTGAGAGGTAGACCGCACTGATATTATCACAAAAGACAAGAGTGGACCTGGTTAATGGTTGCTGGAGTTCTAGGAGCAGATTTCGAACCCAGCTCACTTCGGCCACGGCATTGGCCACTGCACGATACTCTGCCTCAGCACTAGATCGTGATGTGGTGAGTTGTCCCTTGGAGGACCAGGAGATGAGGTTGTCACCGAGGAAGATGCAGTAACCAGATGTAGATCAGCGTGTGTCCGGGCACCCTGCCCAGTCTGCGTCAGAGTAGGCCCGCATGTGATCTGTAGAGGACGGCGTAATGGAAATGCCGTGTGTGGGGGTCCCATGTAGATATCTGAGGACTCGTTTCATTGCTGTGAGGTGCTCTATATGCGGGTCATGGAGGAACAAGCAGAGCTGCTGAACTGCATATGTAATGTCTGGCCGCGTGAAGGTGAGGTACTGTAGGGCGCCCACAATGGAACGATAAAGAGTGGCATCCTAGACTGGGGAACCTGCAGCTGCGGATAACTTCCCTCTGGTGTCTACGGGGGTGGAGACCAATTTGCACGATAGCATGCCCGCACGCTCTAGGATGTCGTAGAGGAATTGGGTTTGCGTTAGCTTGAGGCCATGGGTGGTGCGACATTGATCCCCAGGAAAAAATGAAGGTCACCCATATCCGTCATTGCAAATTCCCCTTTCAGAAGCTGAGTGATTTGCTGAAGGAGTTGTGTCGAAGAGGCAGTGAGGATGATGTCATCAACATAAAGTAGAAGAAAAGCCATACTCTGTCCCTGGCCGTAGGTGAATAAGGAAGTGTCACTCTTGCATGCCCGAAAACCCCGAGAAAGAAGAAAGCGCGTGAACCGTTGATACCAGGATCTGGGTGCTTGCTTGAGGCCATAGAGAGCTTTGTTGAGCTTGCATACATAGTGCGGTCTGGCGGGATCCTGGAAGCTGGAGGGTTGGGCCGTGTAGACTGTCTCTGTGAGAGTCCCATGAAGGAAAGCATTCTTCACATCCAACTGGTGAATCGGCCACCCCCGAGACACGGCTAAGCTGAGGACGATGCGGATGGTAGCCGGCTTGACCACCGGGCTGAAAGTCTCGTCATAGTCGATGCCGTGGCGTTGGTTAAACCCACGAACAACCCACCGAGCTTTGTACATGGACAATTCCCCTGTAGGGCCAAGTTTGTGTCTAAAGAGCCATTTGCCAATGATAACATTTTGGTTATGGGTGGGTGGTACTAAATCCCATGTATTGTTAGCTATCAAAGCATTAAATTCGTCTTTCATAGCATTGAACCAGTTGGGATCCTTCAAGGCACTACGGTAGGTGGGGGGGGAGAGGGGATATGGCAGTGGTGTTAAGGTTAAGGATGTGTTTGGGGCAAGAGATACCGGATTTAACGCGGGTGATCATTGGGTG